TAACGACACCCTACTTATTATGTTGTCTAGACAAAATAATGGCAAAACTATCATTTTGCTCACAGTATGATTCTTAAAAATGATTCACATGATTCTAATTTTAGAATTATAATATTGTTCGGAGATGAGTACTACTATTCAACCAATCAGTAATCATCTATTTTTAACACGCTTATATTAGTTTCACCTGTATGTTTGTAAAATGTAACTTTCCACGGGCACGTGTTATTATTTCCGCGTATTCCGTTGTAAGACTAGACTGTCGTAACGCATTCACCCCACCCCACGTCACGCTAAACACACGACGGCACCNTCACCCCACGTCACGCTCAACACACGACGGCACCATTATTCCTCTATAAATTTATATTTGGTTATCGTACCCGTACACGCGTGCTTGTTATCAATATTATATATATATAAACAAATTTTTATTTTGACTGACCAATGTCGCCCGCGTGTATTGCCCCTTACGTATATATATTTATATATTCCTACCGCCACTGCCGCCGTTTATACCTTAGGTATAACGTTCCCTCCGCCCTCAAAACAAGACTATACCTAGTGCATGATACGTTTACGTACATACGCTTTACATGTATTATATTCAAATTACTATTAAAAATATATATTAACACGCTTTATTCTCATAAAGATATATAGAGTGTATTCATTCCGATTACAAAGGATGATTCCCGTATCGTCATTTTTGGTCCCTACCTTCATGTTCCGGGAGTGGGTAATTTACGCGCCTGTTGCTTTTCTTGGATATGGTAGCCGTTTCTTAGACTCCCTCCCCGGAATCGAACCCTGATTTCTCGTTACCCGTTACAACCATGATATTGATAGTAACTACTATCATAACATGAAACTAAAAAGTAAAAAATAAATAGTTTAAAAAAACTAAAAAAAACACGGTTTTAAAGCACATCGAACTAAAAAGTTAAAAATAATTTTTAATTCTATGTGCTTTAAAAGCGTGTTTTTTTAAATTATAACAGTCTAAAATTTGACAACAATAAGACAACTTATGATTTAAAATAAAACTAACAATCAATTTACTCATTCAATATTACATATGGATTTACCATACCTAACGATTGTTGTAGGGATTTATTTTCTGTTATTTTTGTATACATATTTTCCACAATTTTGTGATACCTATTCCTGTACTTTCAGTACAGTTACATTCCATGAAATTGGATAAATTATAATAATTGTATTAATATTATAGAATATTTAAAAAAAAATCGGTATGTTATAATTCCTGGGACTATTTAAAAAATTTTATTTTGATAAAAATATTGGTTATTGTAATTTGATGTTGGACAGCATAGTTTTTAAAATGGNCTAAAAAATTTTAGTTTGTTAAAAATATTGGTTATTGTAATTTGATGTTGGACAGCATAGTTGTTAAAATGGGTCCCAATTTTTACGTTAAACTCATAAACTTATACATAATATATGAGAAAAATAAGATTATTAACACTGTAATCTGATAATGATTTTTTTAACTCAAGCCAATTAAACATCCATAATGGGTTTTTTGAAAATATTTTTTTTTGGATTTTGTTAGTTCAATATGTTTTTCTATATACGTGTTATAAAATAATTTTTAGTTCCACCCCTTATACACTTTAGAGGTATTAGAAATATTAGAGCTTTGAAATTTTTAAAAAATTAATATCTTTTTTTATGTTGAGCATTCAATAACAATAATAACATGGATATTACAAAATAATTTTACAAATAGATGAGTAATCGCAACGGTAATATTTTTGTACATATANATTTTAAAATATTTTTGTACATATACGAGTAAACGAATATTTGGTATTCGCCAGATAGACGAGTAATGGGAACCTATTTTAGGACATGATAATATTGTCGTCTTTTAAAAATAAGTACGTTCTTTTGTTTTATGAAAGCTCCTATACTTTAAATAGCTATAACTTGTTAAAAGTTGAATAACAAAAACTATTTTTTTTTCAATTAAATAAATCTAATGTTATAAAAAAACATTGAGTTGGAATTTGAAAATCGAAAGTTCATTTAAGTTTATATGATATTAAGGGGATGATGGTAGAATATTAATTTTTCGTGTAAAGCACCTCAACAAAGATCCATTATAATAATATATTGATTGGCTTTAATATTTTCGAAGATATTTCATGAGGTGTTAAGGTATCACGCTATATATTAAATTTATTTAAAAACAAAAAAATTGTACATTGCATTAATTTCAAGTATTAAAATATAAAGTTATTCTTACGTTTGACTTTTACGATTGAAACACGAAAAATTATTAAAACAGATTATTATTATTTTTTAATTGAATATAAAATATTCTAAGAGGACTTCTAAGGTCCTAGATGAGGATTTAAAACGAAAAAAGAACAATGGTTATAAGTAATATCGTTTCGTAAATCATTCTCAATACTGTAAATTTTAGTATTTATTTTTAGTATACTGTTCTATAACACTGTTCAATTTGTGTGTATTCTATACTATAATGATAACTGATATAGTTTATCCTCTTGTTTTGAATTTTTAATCATGTGTATGACATTTGTTTCTCCAAAAGTTGTGATAAACTTTTCACTACAATTTTATGAGGATCTTAAAAATTTTATCTTTTAGCTTAATTTGTAATCTAAAACCTAAACAATCGTTGTAATAACTCAATCTATCTTTAGTAAATATTTCTTAAAAATAACGTCAAAAAAATTTCACCCCAGATAGCATTGTTGGCAAAATTTTCTTTTTATAAAAATTTGTTTTTAATATTTGAATTGAAATTACGTATAAAACGTTANTGTATAAAACGTTAGGTTTTAAACAATTAAAAAAAATAATATGTAACAATGCAATAACGTTTAAAATGGGTGTTTAAAACAATTTTTTTTATACAACAACCCTAACTCTCTTATAGGCAGTACCATAAATACTGGATATACAGAGTATGCAATGAACATGATCTCCCTACATATATTTAGATGGGAGTCCAATATTTTTAAAATGATGGGATACTATCCGCACATAGTTTCGGCACTGACTACTGTAATATTTCTGAACAATACGTTAAAATTGGTAAATACATTAATACTGCAATGAAAGAACGAGTCCAAAAAATTACAGTAGTCAAAAACAGTTAATTTGGATAACTTCAGTTTTTTTAGTATGCATGTATGTATTATTTTGACCCTCTACATAATTTTTTGACTTTTATTCAACTTATAAGCAAAAAATATATTTTTTCAACTCTTAAATATATCATAGCCCATCGAACTTCCGTTGAATCGTTGCCTTGTACTCATATTCATATAGTTCATATCTAATATTGGTAGTAATTAATATTTAATATTGAAATACTATTATTTTAAAATAAATTACTACATATTTTGAATAAAGAAGTCAATGAATTAATATATAGAATAACAGTTTATTTAACGTATTATAAATATGTAAAAATAATTTTTTATAATCCTTTTAGTATGTAAGAACATTTTTAGTTAGTGTATATCAGAATCGTATTTGTATCCCTTCCTAGAATATAATAACTTACATAATTTATATGAAATATGAAAGGAGTAAGGAAAAATTTTTTATGCACATCTTCCGATTATAAAATTCTACGCTACTTGTATATTTTAAAAATACATATGAAATCATGAAAATCTGTCTTATAGTATATCAAACTTCCTTTCCGTACAATAAATGTAAAAAAAAAAATGTAAACACTTTNAAAAAGAAAACACTCACTTTTCAATAAAACTTTAGAAAATATAATTTGATTGACACAATTAATAATACAATACACGTTATTTATTAATATTAATACAAATAAATAGAATAATAAAATATAATGACATAGAATGATATAGAATGATTTACAATGATATAGAATGAGTGTAACTAGCGCATACTAAACCACGACTAACTGTAGGGTACCTACAGTGGGAGTCCTTTGCCCATGGTTGCCCTAAAACCCTTGGTCAGCACATTCCTGTGTTCGACGACAGTCGGACGACCATGTATTATATACTCTACACAATTATAAAATAATATTCAGGGGTTCTTAACACCCCCCAACCTAAATGAGCAATGGGGATCTAATGATTCCCATTGACTCAAGGGAAATCAGATAAATAAAAGTTATACAATTGCAAAGGGATTTAGAATGTTTTTCATATTGGCGAATTATATAATTTAAAATAGAGAGATTCAGAGTTGTGTATTATTAATTTCAGTGGTATATACTTGAATTACTTTTTTCTTACACTTAAAGAATACAGCGACAATTATAATTGATATGATACAAATTGACAAACAAGTATATATGATTACAATATGATAATGACTTAGTAAAAAATGATTGCTATTTGGATTTGTATACCAATTTGTAGTATGTTTAACTAATTTACAAAGATCGTTGAATAAATCGGTATTTGTTATTTGTTGCGGAGTTACCTTAATAATGGATTCTGTGTACGTGTTAATTAAGTTAAACATAGGATTCAGAGGGATTATATCATTAGAATGGTTGTAGAGTACAGTTGAAATGGGCGTTAGAATTAATGAAGTGGTATGAACAGTACAAGTGGGAGATATTGTTAAACGACCAATATTTTTTATATAAACAGAAAAGGTGCGTTGAGGAGATTTACAATTCAGAGTTACTAGTTCGTCTCGCGTACAATAAATCCAGGAATTGGTATTCGATAACCGATTCCATATACTGNAAATTGATATTCGATAACCGATTCCATATACTGCTATTAAATGATACATAAATGATTTGGATGATTGAGGTAAATCTTGTGGATTTTCCAACAATAAAATCTTACATAGCTTAGAAGAAGATTTACGATAAACTGGATGATTACCTTTACATAATGTATATGAGTTAAGTGGTATACATGTTTCTATTTGCGATTGACTAAAAGTTAAATAAAACTCACTATCATCGCTAATTGCTATATAATCATTGTCTGGTTTTACTAGAACAACATTATTGTTTTCAAAATANATTTTACTAGATCAACATTATTGTTTTCAAAATAGAATGGTAAAGGTATCGTGTGATAGAGATTATATTCATCGATTTTAACTATTGGACATTGCAATATAAAAATGAGAAAGTTATCTCTATAAATTATGGATGTAGAAGAGATTGAAAGGAGTTCAGGAATATTTTGTATATTAATTTCTAACGGAAGTTGATTGCCAGCGGGAAGTTCTAGCTGTATTTCCCGTAGCTGAGATAGTAACTTGTTAGGAGGCAAAACTGTGGTGTGAATTTTGCCATGGATAGCAGAGTTGATAATAGAAACAATATTTTGCGTTTCGTACGCGTACTGATTTAGAAGGATTTGGAATAACGTTGATTGCTCTAACAAAGCTGTTTTCGTGATTAGACTGTTGATAGTTTGAGAATTCTTTATGACTTGGTTATTAAGATATTGAATATTTTTTTCGATTTCGACTTGAGCTTCATTAATGTGCTTGGTCATGTTATTGATATCAGAGATTGTCGTTTGGAATAACCGCATTTTTTTTTCTAATATACTGGTGGCGGTCAATTTGGACTTTGCAAAATCTATTATTTTGCCAAAGATGAATTCAGTGTTTAACATGTGACTTGAATCAAAAATTGTTTTTGCTACCGTCGTTACTGAGCTGATCATGTTACGGCGGACCCGGTAGTTTTCTTTNAGCTACAGTCTTTACTGAGCTGATCATGTTACGGCGGACCCGGTAGTTTTCTTTATGGATGTCTTGTCCGAGTGAGATATTTATAGCGTTTCGGTTTGATTCGATTTCGAAGAGATATGGAAGTGTAGCCCTATCAAAGTGATGACAAGCTTCTACAAATTCTAACACANCGCTATATGACACACATTAGATTTCTTTTCATAATACATTCCAATGTGAGGAGTTAGTATGTCTATTTGTGCTAGATTGTCCGGTGGGTGAATTAGAATTTCTGCATTGGTGTATGTACTAGAAATACAAAAAAATTTTTTTTCTTTATATTATGGATTTAGGAGAAATGTTTTTTCAATAAATTTGTATGAACTAAATGTCTTTTACCCCTCCGCTAAATCGCTACATTGACCTGGTTAGGGTGGATTTCGAGAACCTCAAATGGACCTATCCAATTGGGTGTGAGTTTATTGTGAACTGCTTTATTTTGTAAATAAACCATGTCACCTTCCTTAATTTCTAAAGAATGTGCGTTTTTGTCGTATTGACTTTTAGCTTTGTTTTTATTAGCGATTAATCGATTGCGTGCGACTTCGCTTGTTTCTTGAAGTCTCCGTTTGAGTTCGAATTGGTAATCAGAGAAATTGTACTGGGGTTCTGGAGGTTTCGACAACGAATTAGGAATGTGTATCTGTCTACCATAGACTAGTTCATAGGGTTGATAACCTGTAGACGAGTGAATACTGGAATTGTAGGCAAACATTGCGAATGGAATGTATTCGTCCCAGTCTGATTGATCTTTCGCAACAAAACTTCTGAGGTATTCGCCTAAGGTTCGATGGCTCCTTTCTAGACTGCCATTACTCTGAGGATGATACGGAGTAGTTGATGACTTTTTTATTTTCAACAACCTACATACTTCTGCAAAAACTTGACTTAGAAATTCTGTACCGCAATCTGTGACTATTTGCTGAGGTATACCATGTAAGCAAACAAATTGAGTCACAAAATGGTAGGCTACAGTGTTGGCCTCATGATTTCTTGTTGGTATGGCCCATGAAAATTTTGTCAGATCATCTTGTAGTGTGATGATAAAGACATTGTTACGACTTGATTTAGTAAGAGGACCAACGATATCTAGAAAAATTTTTTCAAACGCTCTTGATGATGTAGAAGTTATTACCATTGGTTCCTTGACTGATTTATTTGACACCTTGGTCAATTGACACGTAGGACAAGTCTTGATATACTCTTCTACTTGTTTTCTCATGCCTGTCCAACGGTATTCGATTCTGAGTTTATTAAGAGTCCGTTCTACTCCTTGATGACCTGAGAGAGGAGTATCGTGGAAATCTTTAATGAGTCTGAGTTTTTCCTCAAGTGTTAGGTGATCTTTACTAAACACTTTGATAGCAATATTGGATTCTCTAAAAATGAATCTTAACATAGATTTAACTTGATTCCAATTGAGTTGATCTAACCCGCATCCTATTTTTGGCATAGCGATTTTGGTTAGATTATTTTCTTGACAAAAGGTTTTTAGATTCGTTAGAGTCTTAAACAAGATTTCGTAACTAAGTTTCTCAAAATAGTTAGCTTTTGTAATAAGATATAGAATGTATTTCTCATTGTGGACTAAATGCGCAATTTCTGTCACATTTTTCCTTTGGTTTAGAAGTTCTTCTATTTGTCCAAATTTTCTTCTGAATTGGAGAGCGACTCCTTTTTTCATATAGAAATCTTGGGATACGCTATTGGCTAAATGCCAATCGTTGTTTTCTTTGAAGAGATCTCCGACAATTTCTTGAACATTCGATGTAGTAGATATCGATTCCTCTCTGGCCTGTAAGAAGTTGGTATAGGTTTGCTCGAGCTGTTGTTTTTCTGTCATGCTAGAGGTGGATGTCGACGAAGACGGTGTATTGGAGTGTTCAGAGTAATTTTCAGAGTCTAATAGTGAGTTAGCAGGATCCTGTGATGTAGAATGATTTTGTGATATAGAAATTTGTTCCTTTGACTGAGCCCGGGTTGTAACGTGTATACGGCTAAGCGCATCAGCGTTAGTATTATGGCAACCTGGCTTGTACTGAATTTCATATTCATATTCTTCTAATTTAAGTCTCCATCTCGTTAGCCTCGAGCCTGGGTCCTTTATATTGAATAACCATACAAGAGCTCGGTGGTCTGTTACCACATTGAACTTTTGTCCAAAAAGATAGGGGCGGAACTGCTTAATACCCCATATGATAGAACACAACTCTTTTTCGGTTGTATTATAATTTTGTTCGGCTCGATTCAGAGTTCTAGATGCGTACGCGATTGGTAAATCCTTGCCGATAGGACCTTGAGATAGAACACAACCTATTGCAACATTGCTTGCGTCACAAGTTAGGTTAAATGGTTGGCTAAAATCTGGATATTGAAGTAGAGGTTCTTGAGTTAGAACAGTTTTTAATTTTTCAAATGATTCTTGACATTGATCTGACCAGTGGAATGAGACTTCTTTCTTTAAAAGATTCGTGAGTGGCTTTGCGATTGTGCCATAGTTTGGTACAAAACGCCTGTAATAGCCTGAAAGACCAAGAAACGATTTTACCTCTTTGGCGTTTCTAGGAATTGGGAACTCTAGAACACATTTGATTTTGAGTGGATCAGGTTTAACACCTTTGTCTGTTATAACATGACCCAAGTAGTGTACTTCTTTTCGCATAAATGAACACTTAGAAGGTTGTAGTTTTAGGTTGAAACTCCGAAGTCGATTAAATACATCCTTTAATTTGTTCTCGTGATCTTGTATAGAAGATGCATAGACTATTATGTCATCCAAATAAACGAATGCTTTTAGACCGGTTAGCCCACTTAATACAGAGTTCATAAGACGTTGAAATGTAGCAGGTGCACCTTTGAGACCGAAAGGAACTCGAAGGAACTCAAAGTGACCCTGATCTGTACTAAATGCAGTTTTTTCACGGTGATCTGGGTGCATTTCTACTTGATGATAGCCTTGCGCGAGATCCAGAGTTGAATAGTACGAGGATTTTCCTAATTGATCTAGAATGTCAGCTATATTAGGAATAGGATATGCATCGCCTGCAGAAACTTGATTTAATTTTCTGAAATCAACGCAGACACGATATTTCACAACACCATTACTGTCCGGTTTCTTTGGTACAACTAATAGTGGTGCATTCCATGGACTTTTGCTGGGAGCAACAATATTTTGTTCTTCTAGTTCTTTAATTTGTTTATTAATCTCCTGTTTGTGATGGAAAGGCAAACGGTATGGACGTTCATTGATGGGCTGTACGATTGAGGGCGTATTTATTTCGTGATAAATCGCGTCCGTGCACGTCAGTCTGTCTCCATCTAAATGAAAAATGTCGGAGTACTCACGGCATATAGTGTCGACCGAAGCTTTTTCCTCAGGATTTAAGTGGTCAGTTTGAATAGAATTCTTAAGTAGCCTTAGTCGTTGGCTGCTCGCGGGAGGACTGTTATCAGAAATAGTATTAGAATTTGAATTTGCAATACAACATGACTTTGGTTCGGTCCATATGTCGAACGAAAGTTGAGACAAAGCGAGATCTGGTGGAAGTAGAATTGAACGTTCAGATGTGTTGATAACAGGTATTAAAATTTCGTGGTTCTTTACTGTTGTCAGTACATTACCACACAATAAGTTTTCATATAAGTTTTGAGAATGAATGACTAACGCTGTGGCCTCAGCGATATCACATGCAGAAATAGAAATAAGAGATTCAGAGCGTGGAGATATTTCACATATTTTATTCATGTGCATAATTATCTCACTGTTTCGAAAATCGACTGAAAATTGATTTACTTGTAAAAAGGGTCTTCCCAAAATACCTTCACATTTTATAGGGAAATTCGGATGGACAATATGGAATTCAGAATTTATTACATGATTTTCTATTTGAATACTTAGTATGACTTTACCAAGTGTCGAAATAGTATGATCGGTTATACCAGTGAGACTGAAACATTCGTTCTCCTTTACTGGTACTTCAGGATTTAGAAAATTTAATTTGATAAGGTTTAGATCACTACCTGTGTCTAAAAGAAGATGTAGAAGATTCGGAGTAGTTTGCTTACATAGAATTTGCACATGACCATTATCTAACTTGGCGGTGCATTTGTAGATTCGTTTAATTGTATTATGGCGGCTTGAAGTTTTCCGGCCGAACTTGCGCCTTGGTCCGGACGGTTCCTGTTTTCCTGTTTACGTCGATTTGTGTTTGCGTATCTTCTTTTGATACATTCTTCTAAAATGTGACCCTCGTTTTTACAATATCTGCAGATTTTTTCTGCGGAAGCAGAGTTTTGAACAATGGGTCTGTGTATTTTAGCGTTATTTGTGTTATTAGTGGATGTAGAATTGTTATTACGACAGAATTTAGCAAAATGTCCCTTTTGACCACATAAATGACAGCTTGTACTGGAAGTAGAATTTTGTGATGTAGAATATTGTGAATTAGAACTTTTTAGTGGTCTATCTTTCAAATATTGTTTTGCTCCTATATTTGAAAGTCTTATCCTTTCTTCTTCTTTGGCTGCTTGAATAGCTTTTTCAAGAGTTGAAGGATTCCGTGCTTTTATAAAGTCTTTCAAGTTTCCGAGTCCTTCCATAAACACTTGGATTACTTGGTTATTAATCGTTTGTTCTATCGCTTTGGCTACCTCTGGATGTTTGTCTGACGTCTCCTGTTCGATTATTTGATTTTGTAGCTTTTCAATTTTCATTGAATATGATAGTATGTCCTCATTTGGCAATTGCTTTGTAGCATATAGCTCCAAATAAAGGTGTGGGGTTGTTCTCTGAGGCTCTAAATTCGATTTCAAAGTATCTCTAAGATCATCCTATGATTCAAAGCTTTTGTATTTTGTGACCTGCCTTGCTTTACCAGACAGTCGAGTTTGAATTGCTCGTAGTAGCCGTGGAATGGCCACCGGTACTACACATTCTACTGCAAATTCACATTTTTCCAAAAAGATTTCCAATTGCTCCACATCTCTTCCATCAAAAGAATTAGGAAGCAACCTTATAGCGTCTTGCAACCCTATTTGAGTGTTTGAAGGAATTGGATGATGTAGATTGGCGTTGAAAGAGTTAGAATTATTTTGAAAGTATTGTTCCATATATTGATCAATGAGCACTATTACTTCACTCATTGGTATTTTCACCTCTTCTGCTTTCTTCATTCTATTGCTATTTGACTCGTTTGTTTTACTATCACAGGGCATATTGTCTTCTTCTGCCATTACAGACAAATAGTCCTGATGGAGTAGCAAATTAGTAGGTGGGTAAACACTAGCTTTTATTTTTTCAGGTCCCCACTTGGTTTCTGAATCGTGCAAGGCGTTCGTTAGGTTTACCTTCGTGAGAGTTTGACTTGTACCTGCTGTTTTGACTTCTGGGGTGTAATTTGTCGCTAACGTATACCAACACGTAGTTGGTGTAGTGGATGTAGAAACGATAGTCGAAGTGGAAGGTGGTGCTGTTGCACAATTTAATGTTGACGTAGAAGTTGACGCTGATGTAGAAGTGGACGCTGACGTAGAAGTGGACGTTGAAGTAGAAGTTGATGTGGACGTTGAAATGGACGCAGATGTAGAAATAGACGTGGACGTAGAAGTAGACGCAGACATAGAAATAGACATGAACGTGTTAGAATTGGTAGTCGATGTAGGAGTAATAGGATTATAGGAGTTGCATTTAATAGAAGTCTGAATAGAATTTGTTTGAGTGTTTGAACTTAATAATTCGTCTAATAAAGAATTGGAATGGTTTAGAAGGCTGTCCGTACTACCTATAGCACGAATAGATTTATTCAAAATATCTTTACTATTATCTAAATCTCTCGGTACACTAGTACTACGTCGAGATACTTTTAACTTTGAACGAAGAGAACGAGTAGCTGGAATAGGAATTAGGATGGATTTAGAATGAGTCAATGGCTTATAATCGCTATCACTTGAACAACTATTACTTGATTCACTCATTTATCATGCATGAGTTGGAGTCTCAAAAAATTTTTTTTTTTTCCCATAAAGCACTTTAAATGAGTTCTGCACTATCTAGCAATGAGCGAGTAAGCGAGTGGTACAATTCTTACCATTTACTAGAGATAGTAAAAATTAAATTAAAAAATTTTTTTTTTTAAATGGTATAAATTAGAATATTCTATAAAAATTCGTATCTTTTTTTTTTCTCTACAAAAAAAATTTTGATTCCACTAAATATTATAGTATTTAAAAAAATATTGAAATTGAAAAAATAGAAATTGAAATATTTAATCGAGATAGAAAAATAATATATTTTAATTATTTTTGAACTAATTCAAATTTAAATTGTCTCTCTTTTTAATTAAATTATTTTAATAATAAACAATCTTTTGATTTAGAATTAAATTTACTAAAAATAAATTTATTTGGTACTACTATTTAAATTAAAATAAATCAATCGCAAAGCATGTATAGGATTTAAAAAACTTACATTATGATGACAAATATCATTTTGAAATATTTCATTTTTAACAATTGATTCTTGATTGAAATGGAATTGAATTATTTGGACCAGTGTAGTTGAATTGAACTTGATATGGAATGGCTTGACTCAAATTGAATTGAACGGCTTGTAAGGAATTTGAAAAATTTATCTTGAACGACGTTGATGATTAGAATAGTTTCACTTCTTGATTTTGTAGAAATTTGATTGTATTTGAATGTATTGATTGTATTATTTTTTATTAAAACATTGATTGCGACGATGTAGAAATTCAAAATTGTTTAATTATTTTGACGGTCACTTTATAATTGTTGTTATGTTTTCCACGATATCTGGTGGTCGTGTTATATCACGGCGGCGGCACAGTCAAGTTATCGTCCGCTAGACCGCGACGGTGTACATAACGGAGTATTGATAAACACGGCGGCGGCGTCGAACCGGTTGAAACAGTGTTGCCACACGAAATAGAATTATGTAGTGAGGTTATTCCCTATCTACCAAGGACGCTTCCACGCGGTTTAATGAATGTATGTTTTCTTACCAAAAAATTTTTTTTCCTTTTTAGTTTTTTAAAGGCCCTCGAAGACGTTTCTGCTCTATTACCGCTGCCGACAAATATGTTGTGCGGGCCCACGTGGTAAAAGGAATTAAACTTAATGAGAAAAAGAAAACACTCACTTTTCAATAAAACTTTAGAATATATAATTTGATTGACACAATTAATAATACAATACACGTTATTTATTAATATTAATACAAATGAATAGAATAATAAAATATAATGACATAGAATGATATAGAATGATATAGAATGATTTANATTAATAATACAATACACGTTATTTATTAATATTAATACAAATGAATAGAATAATAAAATATAATGATATAGAATGATATAGAATGATTTAGAATGATATAGAATGATTTAGAATGATATAGAATGAGTGTAACTAGCGCATACTAAACCACGACTGACTGTAGGGTACCTACAGTGGGAGTCCTTTGCCCATGGTTGCCCTAAAACCCTTGGTCAGCACATTCCTGTGTTCGACGACAGTCGGACGACCATGTATTATATACTCCACACAATTATAAAATAATATTCAGGGGTTCTTAACACTTGAGGAGACTAGACCCTATGAAAATATAAGATTTTTTTATATTTCAAGCATAAAAATCCATTATTTATGTAAAATACTATTATAATAATAAATTTATTTAAAATACTAGTTAAAGTATTTGTTACTATAGTTATAGTACCTACTTACAAAATTAATAATAGGTACCAGAAATAGTAAAGGTAATTAAGTATCAATATTGTGATAACTTTTTTTATTCAAAAAAAGTTAAATTCAAGTTGAAAATATCAAAATTAACAGTTTTGAAAGTTTTCCGAAAAGTCTGACACTTTTATATATATCTTAAATTATAACTAATATAATATACTTTATCATGGAAAAAAAATTTTTGGACTTTATTTTGTCTTCATGGTAAAAATACCAAATTCTATTTTTGTGTGAAAATTCTCGATTTTATATTATACATTTTTAACTTTATAATGCTATAACTTTAAAAATGTATGGATCAATACAATTTATATAGTAGTATTTATATACATCTTTCATTCGACATACTTTTTTTAAATTGGACCATTTCCCTATATACGAGGAGAGGTCATATCTAAAAAATGCATATCGAAAATAGAACTTTTTCATCATTTAAAAAAACAAAGTTGACGCCCTTACAAGGCATAAGGAATGAACTTAAAAAGTATTACATAGTTAATAATTCAAGAATAATGTGAAACTAAAGATAATCAAAAAAAAAAAAAATGTTTAAATATATTTATTTTGTAAGTAATTGAGTGGGCTATGATAAAAAAATCAACCTGTACATTCCGCTCATAACTGATGCACCATCATAACATTGTGCTACATATTTGTTTATATCTAAATTATTTTCTGAAATTACTTTAATTATTTGATTAAATAAGCTTTCAGAATCAGATTTAACCATATGTTAACAGCCAATGGATTTTTGATGTATATTAAAATTGTCATCCAGAAACCTTATAACAAAACTCATTTGTTCTTCCTTAGATTTATCTTTTGTCTCATCAATGATAATTGTATAAATTCAAAATTTATTAATGTTCCTTAATATTTGTTGTCTTGTGCATTTTGCAATAGTTACAATTAAATAATTTTGATATTCAGGACTAGTATAATATCATACATAGACTGTAGTTTATAATTTAGTCTATCATCGCCAAACATTTGTATAAGTTCAATAAAATTGCTCTTTGTGACCTCTAAAAAGTAATCCTTATTTTGCCAAAAACAGAGTTGCTTTGAGTAAGAAATGTACATGTGAATGGTTTTCATTTATTCTAAGTTGTCTTGCAGAATATAATTGTTGTGTTATATAAAGTCAATTTTTTTCTGAACTAATTTATAGTCTATCCAACGTTGCATAGAAATAACATGTCTATTAATTCTTTGATGGCGATCCAATGGTGCTTTGATTTCTTTCCATTTTTTGTAATTATTTCCATTATTTACAAAACTGTATTTTTAACAATTGTATGGTTCTAAAATGTAATTCAAAAATATAAAATTATGCATACCAGATAAATTATTTATTAATTATTTAACCTACCAAAGTTATACATTCTGATTCTAAATTATTAACCAATGCACTTTCTTTCTTTATAGGGAATACAAGGAATAATAATAGGGAACTTTCTTTTCAGGCAATGGCAAAAATGATCCTTTAACATTTTGTTTAGTTGGCATTACGTCATCATCCTTTTGTTTATACAAATCAAACAATGAAATTAATTATTAATAACAATAAAAGCTGTATAATAATTTTATTTATTTCAATTTTTAAACTTACGTTTGATAAAGCAGTTGATTAAATAAAAAAATTTATTTTACTCTGTTTAGAATCATTTCCTATATATTTGAGTTGTGTTGTTTTTTTGTCTCGCAATTTTTGCTCTCCACCTTTCCTTTTATTTAAACTATTACTCGTTGAAATTTTGTATTTTTGTTCTTATATCTTAAACTTAAGTAGTCAAACTTCAAAACACTTATATTTGTTATTTGATAATTTTTGTTATAAATAAAGTTATTTATAACCATGATAGTACAACAACATCGAAAAGGCAAAAAACGTTTACAACTTCATTATTTAATCTATCGACGGTTAGCAAAATTTTAAAACGTGTCACGGCTCTTTCAACCTCCCTATCGCCTCTATCTACTATTATCATCTGACTTACAATCTGACTAGTTATCACCATATTACCAACATATTCTGACATTAACATTATATTTATATATATATATATATGTTTAATACTGTTATATTTATAGATTTGAAGTATACAAATTTAGTATTGTTATATTTATAGATTTGAGACTATTGTATAAATAATATAATATAATAATAGTAATAATAATATAATTTTAATTAAAATTAATTTTAATTTAACCAGTTCAGATGACATTATGTCATCTGAAACATCTAAAGATGTAAGTAATAAATTGCTTAACAATTTATGAATTTTAACTTAAATTATAAGCTCCATTTCTCCAATCTGTTGATATGTGTAACTAGTTTTATACATATAATGGTTTGAATATATTATTGAAATTGTATTCTGTAATTTTCAATTGAACTTTTAATCTAATTGAATTTCAATATTATTGCATCATTTAATTTTAATAAATTTGTCTTAAATTTAAGGTTATTAAATGTATTGAATGTAACTCAACATTTAAATACTGCCACACTCTAAAAAGGCATGTAAAGGAGAAATATAAAGTTTATGATAAAGCTAATAATAATAATATAGTTAACACAAAACCAGTGAAATGTGATCTATGTCATCAAAATTTCACCCAAAGAAAAATATGTTAAGGCACTTAAGAACTCAACATAAAGAAAAAAATGTACTTATTTCAATGTAATAGGTAAATTCCTAGGCAATTTATAATTAAATTATAAAACATGTTTAGATAATTGCAACAGGTTTAAAAGAAACTGAAGTTCCTTAATTAGATTATTGAAGTATTTATATAATAAAAGGTAAAACCATGTCTAAAGAATGATTTTTAATTAATATAATTATAATGTACAGTATTTATTACTTTGTGTTATTTAATTTTTAAGTTATAATATTTTTCTTATTATAATTTAAGAGAATATGTTTTTTATTTAGTTTAAAAACATTTATAGCTCAATAATAACTTTTAAGAAATCATACTTATTCAATTAAATTTTATTATTTTACATGATATATATAATTGTTTTATAATAAAAGTAATAATAAAAATTAAAATAAAAATAATAATAATAATAATTATAGATATTTACTAAAATCCTAGTTAATCTCAAAATAAAATAAAACAAAATTACTGAAAATTCAAATTTTAAAATCGCTAATTTTTTAAATTTTTTTTCTTAAAACTTCCATAACTTTTTGAAAAATCAACAAATCTACATCATTTTTCTTTATACTAAAACCTTAGATATTTACCTTTCGCTTGATATCATTTTTTTGAAGATCTATCACTTCACCTGCTCATTGGGAGGGATTTAAAATGGCAACTTTTTTACAAAAACTAACTTTTTCAACATAATTTTTAAAAATGTTGAGGAAATACTGCGTCTTTTAAACATATATCAAATTAAAGCTTATTTTATGTACTATAAAATGGAAAAAAAAAAAAATTGTCCCGACACTTTATCTTCTACATTTAAACTGCTGTCGTAGTTAAAAAAACACTATTTTTTGTTAAAATTTTCAACTTAAAAATGCTATAACTTTTTGAAAAATGTATATATCAGCACAAATTTTTTTTTTCTAAATATATTATAAGTACATCTTTCATTTGATATACTTTTTATTAAAATTGGACAATTCCCCTTATATAGGGGGCGTTCAAAACTTGAAATAATGTAAAAAACATAGATCTTTTTCAACTGAACTTTTGAAAATGTTCCGGAAATACTGCGTCCTTTAAACATACATTAAATCAAAGGTTATGTTATATACTATCAAATGAAAATTTATGTAATATACTTTAATATAAAAAAAAAAATTTTTTGAACTTTATGTTGTCTTCATGGTGAAAATAGCTATCGTATTTAAAAATATGCTATTATTATGTTAAAATTCTTGGTTTTGTATTTTATTTTATTATAAGGGGATTACACTGATTTTCATAAATATTATATCAATCTAAATGACATAGTATAAAAAATTAAACATATTTAAATTTTTTTGTTTCTTTGAAGTCAAGAAAAATAACTATAAAATTTGAACTAGCTAAATTTCCATTTCTATTAAGTGACAAATGAGACGTACGGTTTTTGAGACGGTAACACTTGGGTCTTTCACTACTGTGGTACTGAACTTTTTTTTAAATTCTTTTTGAGTTAAAGAAAAAATGTTTAACTCATTTAGATTCAATAACTTAAATAAATATCAAGGATTCCATTACTGTAGTCTTCTCTCGTGAGAAGAAATTCATATTAATATTATTTTACTATGTGGTTTTTTTTTTGTAGCTATCATTTATATTCTCAGCTCTCATTTGACCTACTTTTTTAACAATTTTTTTTTTTTTAAATTAAACACTATCTACAGATTTGCATCGAAGCGTTTTTTATGATAGTGATTTTAATCACTGTCAGATATCATCTATACTGGACCCAACTATGCCACCACCCCACTTTGCTGGGTTTTTTTAATTAATTTTTTACATCTAATAAATTTGATTTTACTAATCAGTGATTATTTAAAAAAACTTGAAATGAATGAAATGTAGATTTGTGTATTCAATGTTTATTTTTAGAAACAGTATCGTTGTCATCACAATACTAGGCCAAATAAAGGTGTCACCCCAAGTGCAAAACATTTTAATTGTAAAGCAACTTTTTCTATAAAAATTATAAAAGATGAAACACAAATAGAAGATAATATGCTGTGGGTTATTAAAATATATTTTAATATTTATAATTAATTAATTTGTTAATTATACTTTATTAGTGTGACCCAAACTGAAGACAATGAAGATTTGCTATTAAATAATACTAAAGCTCTAGTTGAATTTAAATACATCCATAATCATAAAATTATGCAGGCAGATGTTTTAAAATATAGAAAACCATCAGAAAGAGTGAGATCTATATTTTTAAAATTTTTTGAGGAAGGAGAAACACCATCAAAAGCTCTTTTTTTGTTTAAAACACAGTTACGCTTAGATAAAGGAAATGAGTATTATGTAAGTGCTGGTGATCGTGGTGAACTACCTAATCCAGAATGGGTGTATAATTTATACTACAAAAGTTTTAATACACACTTTGGAGCATCTCATGGTGAGCCTATGATGAACTCTCTTAAAGAAGCTGTAGAACAGTTTAATATAGAATGTAGTTCAACTTGTGCTCTAATGGAAACTCTTGAAGATAAAAATTTTGTCATTGCTATTACAACTCCACTTATGAAAAGAATTAGTTCAAGTTTAGATGAAAGTGGAGAAATGTTATTTATAGATGTCTCTGGAAATGTTGACAGATATGGGTGTAAAGTGTTTTTAATTTATACAAATAGTTGTGCAGGTGGTCTTCCTGTTTGTACTCTAATTTTGACAAGTGAATCAACAGCAGTCATTACTCTGGGCTTAGAATTTTGAAAAAAGTTAATTCCTCAAAATAGCTTAGGTGGAAGAGGTTTAAATGGACCTATTATATTTATGTCTGATGATTCTGCTGCTGAGAGAGCAGCATTAAGTGAAGCTTTTCCTCAAGCAACTTTACTGCTGTGTATATTTCATGTACTTCAGGCAGCTTGGAGGTATTTATGGGACTCTCATCATGGAGTTGTGTTGCAAGATCGCCAAATTCTTTACAATAAAATAAAAAAACTGTTATATTCAGTAACTTGTGAAGAACTAGAAAAAATGTACAATGAAGTCATAAATGATTCTTTGACAAAAAAATATAAAATGGTTGAAACTTATGTAATTGGATTATATCAACGACAGAAAGAATAGGCACTTTGTCACAGGAAAACTATAATAACACGTGGTCAAAACACCAATAATATTTGTGAAGCTGGAGTTAAAATTGTTAAAGATACTATATTAGACCGAACTAAAGCTTATTCACCAGTTCAATTATTTTTTTTTATTGTGAATGATCTTGATGCTTTCTATGAGATGAAACTAATAGATGTAGCAGCAAATCGCCCAGCTCAATATGTAAAAAAGAAATACACATCATCAGAATTAAAAAAAACAAACTTGAATATAAACAATTAGGATCTATTTATGAGGTAAAAAATTGCACTAAAAATACATCTTACAATGTAGACTTAGATGTAGGAATATGTACATGTCCAGAAGGTGAGTCAGGTAAACCTTGTAAACACCAAATATTTGTAGCTCTCAGTTTGAAAATTGATCTTTCTCTTTGTTTACCTTCTACTGAAGATGTAAGAAAAAAGTTACATATAATTGCCACAGGAAATTCTAATATTGAAAATGGCTAGTACAGTTCAATCAACATTTCTAATAATAGTACTTCTGAAATACACTCAACAATTAAAGAAAATAAACTATCTGTAGAATCTAAAGTTGATACTAATCAACATGAAAAGAACAAAGATTTTATTGATACAAGCACAAGTACAGCTATTGATATGATGATGGGAAGCAATGAAGATTTAAGTAGACAATTAGTTGATGATAAAATGCAGATATTTGACAATATTGTACAGAAAATGAAAAATGCAATAGAATCAGATAAAGAATACTTTTTGCCTGGTATTGAAGCTATGAGCAAATCATTTGACAAACATATTAGGACTCACTCTGCTCTGTTATCTGCAATAATGTCATTTGGAAGATATTCAGGTATTGATCCAAAATCCAAACACTTAAAATTAATGGGAAATAAACGCATAGGTACTCAGCCTAAGTTTTTCTTCTGTTACACCGAGATCCAGAAGAAAAACTCAAATTGGTGGAAGAAAAAATTTGGCAGCTGGTAGAGTTCCAAAATGGAAACGTAATGAACATGGATATAGTCAACAGCCACGTTCTAATGTCTTACCTAGAAGCAGAAAAAGTTTCAACCCAGATAAACCAACATTTAAACCCTCAAAAGCACCACATTGTTTAAGTTATTGTGTTCAACAAAATAAAGCGCTAGGTACTACTCACACTGCCAAATAAATTTCATCATACATAAGTACTATTTATTATGTCACACACATCAAATTCCTATAAAAGTTGTTATAAAAATTACTTAATCTTTATTTAGTATTATTAAAATAATAATTACAAGTGTTCAATGTTATTACTTTCCAAC